GAAAAACAAGCAAAAAAAGGACAAGCTTGATCTGATTAAATTGCCATCTTGGCGCTTAAATCCCCGCTGCTTTAAAATCAGGACTCCAAAAACGTATGTCCGCTTCCGTCGGTCTGAGATAAAAGCATATGTCAAAGAACATTATTAGAAGACATCAGGAAAAACAGCTTGCAAGAAGAACTAACCTCTTCGGAGCAGCAAAATAATCCCTTGCAATATGCGCATCCTTAATACCACATCACTCTACTTTCAGATGATCTAGCCGGGACCTAAGGGAAAGGAGCTCGCCGACCGGAACTTCACAAACCTTTGAGCGCAATTGCTCATAGCAAGTTATCCTTGCTTCGGTATCCACAATCTTGAGCTCGATTTTGTGTGGATCTCCTCCCCTTGAACCATAAAAGCCTATATGGTACAAGCTCAGGTGAATGACCGACTAGTATATACTCCGGTACGAGCGTGGGACGTTCAACTTAGGAGGTGTGGTGATGGATGAGCGCGAGTTATTCTATAGCCGAGATACTTAGGTTAGAGAACGGTGGAACGGTGGGATGTTCAAGCTGGACGAATGCTCTCGACCAGCAGGACGGTCGAGTGGGACCGGGGAATGAGCGGGACGGGTGATGTGGTCGTACCGTCGAGATACTCGGACAGTCTGACCGGGGAGTGGATCGAAGTGTACCACAAGGGCTATGGATTATCCCTTGATACAACACGTTAACTCTCTTAAGCTTTGGAGGTACTGGTCTCACAAATCAAAGAGAAAGAACACAAGAAAACAATTCTTGAAGAAATTCGGTATTTTATTAATAATCAAAAAAGTGAAGGTTACAAGCTGCATATGGAACCTTATAAACTTGTTCTTCAACCAAAAGTAATAAAGGAAAATATAATAAAAATACCTAAGTGCATAATAAAAATTACATTGAAGACTAATGAAAATTAACGACTAATTTAGGCTGCAAAAGAGATTGAAATCATTAGTCAAAATGCAATGAAAATAATCATAAATACTTATCTTGTTTCTTGGCTTGGTTTAAAGTCTGAGTGATCCGTCCTCTTGATATCTCTTTGACCGTGGTGATAAGTTTTATGGGTCTTGGGCCTTGCTTGAAACAACAAAGAGATTATAGCCGTTTGGTTTAGAGAATAAGGGCCATGCTTCTTGAAATTTGTTATCTCCGAATGGACTTTTGCTAGCTTTAACATCATCTTGAAGTTCTTGATCATCAGCTTGTTGGGCGGCTAACATGATAGCTTGATTATACTTGTGTTGTAACACTCTTGCTTTTTCTCTTGTAATGGTTCCGGTTGGTACTTCAATCACTTGCGGTTCAGTAAAGTCAGGTTCTTCTTGGATAACTTCATCACTTTGTCCGGTTAATACACGGATAATACCAATCACAAGAACGCCGGTGCATTAGATCGGCCATGCGCTTAATGGATCCTCGATGTAATCCCCGAGCTTCCTCAACGGCAGAAGCCATCTTTTTACTCTCTTCAGCCGCCCTCTGCTCCAGATTTTCCCTATGTAGCTTTTTCTCCTTGGAAGATTTGACTTTGAGCTCTTGGTATTTAAGCTCCAAATCAAACATCTCGCGTTCAAGCTTTTTAATTTTCGCTATCGCGCCACAAAGCTCTCAGTCCTTGGCCATTAATTCCTCGGCCATACTTTCTTCCAGCACAGAATCCTGGTTGTACGACTCTATCAGGGATGCGCACAATCCCATGCCTTGTACAAAGTGTTGAGCCATTCCAGAAAAACCTACGAACCGCTTCAATTTCTTAACAGACATCCCGTTGTTAGGCTTCGCCCTACACTGCCAGACCAAATTCTGAGTAAAATATTTGTCCAACATCGCCGGGGAAGTCCCATTCCAACGTAATACGAATTGATGAGGATTGAAGCTCGAATCTTCATTAGCATCTTGATTCTCCGGGTTTTTTTTGGCAAACCATCAGCAGAAACTGGCGAATCAGTTTCCTGGCTTTCTGCCTCCACAAAAACAGGATCTTGATCCTTGATCATTGAAGCATTTGCTGGACTCTCGGTCAAAATCTTTGGAGAAGGAGAATCGGAAGATTAGGCGTCACCAACGGCAGGAATATCCGACGGAGCATCTTCAAAGTGACGGATCTCTTGGCGGAGTCATGATCCGGGGCTTTTTAGTCGAATGATACTCATGGAATATCAATTTCGACCAGAGGAATTTTGCTTCTTTTCCTTAGTCCCATCTTCGCCGGAAGGAGATTCGAGGGAAAAACGAGAAATGCTTCGAAATTGAAGATTCTTTCTAAAGAAGACGAAATCGAAATTAGACGACAGGAATTCGACTGGGTGTTTTAATCAAATTTTGATTCCCGCACTAAAGACCTTTCGCCTTTTCTGCTTGGAACAAAACTCTAATGGCCGTGCATTAAAAAAAAATTATTATTATTATTAATCAAGGAACGCGCCACATGTCAAATCCACTTAAGGACGAGCCGAGCTGGCCATCGCGAAGGAACGCTCTTGACGAACTACCGTTTATTACGAGATCAAACCATTTTGCTTCATGAAGTCCGCCGAGCTAATTTACAACCAGTCTCGCCGAACTGGGGGGGGGGGACTTATTGTTATAGGGGAAATAAACACATTTCTTAAAAAGCTTTCTCTAGCAATAATCTAAGCCCATCAAGACCAAGGAAGCTGCACCGACTCAATCCAAAAAGGAAAACTACTTGAAGATGCTTATTTATCCCTATAATATCGGATCAGCTCGGAAGAATATTGTAGGATAAAGGAGAATTTTCATATCTCTCGGGAAATAAAGCTATTTCCATATCGCAAATATGGAAAGTTTCACCTAAGAAGAAAAGGAAAAGGAGCTCGCGAAGACCGGCCTCCTGTTCCTATAAATAAGAAGACCCCAAACAGCTTCAAGGCAACTCATACAATATAGAAAGCAGCAAAGCTAATTTTAAGAACTCGAGGCTTTCTAGTTCATTACTTTACTATTTTACTACTTTTCTTTCACTTCGGTATAACCTCTCGGTTAAACCATTTTTTGTAATCATTTCGACTTTGAGCTATTAATAAAGATCTTATTTTCCAAAACTCACAACTGTTAATCACTTAATCCTAATGGTGATATTCTGGTTCAACACAAGATGTGGGATCTTACTGATTTTTCATGTGGTAAACATGCTATTGGTACAAAATTAATTCTTACAATCAAGTATAATGGGAGGATATCTCACTATAAAGCTTGTCTAGCTGCACTTGGAAACCGCCAAGAGCAAGGATTTGACTATAATTTAAAACATTTTCTCCGGTCTCCAAGATGATAACGGTTTGATGTTTTTTCAATGTGGCTTATCACAAAAAAGTGGGAACTTTTTCAAATAGATGTGAATTATGCTTCTCTTCATGGGGAATTTGCATCCCCCACAAGGATTTTCTAAAGACACTTAACAAGGTTTACAAGCTTTTGAGATATCTTTATGGTCTTAAACAGCCTCCCAGATGTTGGTTCTCCATGTTTCAGAAAACTCTGCTTACGAATGGTTTTCGGCAGTCTATCTCCGATTATGCGCTAATCTCTCTGGTTCATGGGTCAATCGAATCGTATATTTTGGTGTGTGGAAAAATTGGTGATTGGCGAGAGTGACTCTGAGACTATTACAGCGTTTAAATAAATCTCCACAGTTGTTTCCACATAAATATTTTGGTGCTGTTAGGTACTTTTTCGATATTGAGGTTGTACGGCAAAACGACAAAATATTTATTTGTCAAAGAAAACATTTCCTTGATAATGTGACATAATGTAGTACGTTGGGTGCTCGTCCCGCGCTAATACTATTGAAACGATCATAATTTAGTTAGAGCTGATGATGTGTTTTTCTCGGATCCATCAAAGTAGTATCGACAGATTGTTGGACGACTTATTTATTTGATATACACTCGTCATGAAGTCTCTTATGCGGGTACACATTCTCTCCCAATTTATGCAGGCTCCACACTCATTGGGAGGCAGTCATGCGTGTTGTGCGCTACCTTAAAGGCGCACCTAGCAAAGGGATATTCTTTGATGCTTATGCTGATCTTACATTTACAGGTTTTTGTGATTTGAATTGGTTTGCATGTCCCAGTACCAAAGGTCACTTTCGAGCTATATATTTCTTTTGGTGGATGGCCCATTTCTTGGAGAACAGAAAAACAGCAAACGGTTTCTCGTTCTTCAACTTCAACTGAAGCACAGTATAGATCGTTAGTGGATTCTAATTGTTAGATAAAGTGGCTTCGTGGACTAATGACTTTCTTTGGCATCTCAACAACGCAACAAATCTCACTCTTATGTGATAATCAATATGCTCTTCATCTTGCTGCAAATCTAGTTATGCGTCAAAGAACGAAACATATTGAAAATGATTGTCATTTTGTTCCTGATGATGTCATCACCGGCCTGATCGAACTTTCTCCAAAAGAACCAATCGGCTGATATTCTCACCAAACCCATTGGACGTGTTCAGTTTGAGTTTCTCTTAGACAAGTTATGATCCAAATTAAGAGGAGTATTGGAATATACTCTCCAATATTCACGAATATGTATATATATTTAATTTCAATCCCTTAACGATTAGGTTAATGGGATGTACATGTATTATATATAAGCCGCTTGGCTGATGAATGAAAGCAACACTCCCGTATACTTTGACATGTGCACTTGTAGTTAGTACAAGTGATCCATCTTAGAAGAAAGTTAATTAATGGATGATATGACAGAGCTAGATGGAGCCAAACCGGGTATTAAGGAGAAGTCCATGCATAGCTTGTTGGGATCCGTTTCCTGCAAGATACTTTTTGTCAAGATGAAGTTTGTGTCAAAAGTAACAGAAAATCCAGGTGAGTTCGGGTAGATATAGGTTTTAGGGATATGGTACATTTCTATTAAGAAAAGAAAATGGTACATTCCTATTAGGAAAATGAATGGTACATTTCTATTGGGATGATCGTTCAGGTAAGAAAAGCTCGTTATGAAGGGATACATGTTTACAATCTGGTTAACATTGAACTTGATCGTTCAGGTAAAAAAATCATTCATTTCTGTTCGTCTCCTTGACCCTAGAAATAAAAAAGGTTCACACAAAAAAACAAAACTTTTTTTTATAATCAGATATCTTCTATAATGTTCATTAGCTCATGAAATGACTTTCCGTTTGTCTTTTCTTGTGTACATGACAGATCCTAATGTTCTTGATACTCCCTGGGACGAATCAAAAAAGCTCCCTTTGCTCTTTACAACAATGCTGAATATATTCTTCTTTTCATGATCATTTTCAAATTTAAGGCATATCTCTCTAGTTTCTTACATCCATTTATTCGCATTGGTGTCAGCCAATCATGTGTCCACATTTACAGGTTTTACCCATACTTTCGTGGTCGGAGGGGGAAAAACAAGATTTAAAAGAACACTTCATTGCCAGAATTTTAAAGATCATGAAAGAAACAAGTGAAGATGACTGGTAAACTTTATATTTTCGTCTTTTATAGCTAAATGTAAGCCTTATAAAACTGACTAGGAGCAATGCGCATGCATGATCATGCCAAGAGCCAAAAGTTCTTATGGGTCTTGGTGTTTAGCACATAGCCTCCATTTTGACCTTTCTTCTGTACGCCAACACAAGTGCATTTGCTGTTCTCGATTAGATATTCGGCTGTGTCTACTCCTTTTGATCCTCTTAGTGACCCTCCTGGCCGCCGAGATCTGTCAATCCAAATCATCCTCATATAATTTGATGTTTCCAGAAATCTAGAGAGAGAGAGAGAGAGAGAGAGAGCGAGAGAGAGAGAGAGAGAGAGAGAGAGAGAGAGAGAGAGAGAGAGAGAGAGAGCATACCCTAGAAGAGAAGATGAGATTGTCCTGCGTTGGCCAATGATGATTACATCAACACCAAGTTTGTCTCCATGAAGAAGAATAGTACAAGCTTTGACGCCTTCCATGGTTATACATTCCGTGTGAACGCGCACCTTTGGCTGAGCGATTTCACATATCCGTTTCATCTGTTCAAGGAAATTACCTTCTCCTTGACCAATCTCAGAGGCCAAAGATGAAGCTACGTTTGCAGCGTTGGCATTAGCGTTAGCAGCGGCGGCTGGAGAGGAGCCGCTGCTAGAGGAGGAGGAAGAAATGGAACTTGGTAATCTCAGGAAACTAGAGAAAGCGTTTTTCCATGAGCCACAATTATTTTCAACATGGACAAGTATAAGCTCGTCTTGCTCGAGCACGGCGTGTGAAAGAGTGTATTGAAGAGCAGCTGCTGATTCACGTGTCGGGTCAGCGATCACCATGATCTTGCGTGATTGTGGTGTTGAAGATGATCCTCTACGACCGTCTTCCATGCCCTTTTCCGCTTCTTTTTTCTTCCTATTTCTTCTTCTTGCCTTTGCCTATAGCATCACCATTTTTGATGTGATTCTCAAGCTTTCTGTTTTGTGCAAATGGGTTTTTTATTTTCTTTTGATAATAGAAATTTAGGGTATCAAAAACTCACGATTGGTTGTCACGGTTTGTGTTCACGTTTATCTCTTCAAAAAACAAGTAATTAGGAAGGATTTAAGACACTTAACCGTTTTTTTTGTGTGTTTTTTTTCTTAGGAAGGCTAAAGGTGGGAGAGAGAGAGAAAGATAATTGTGGTGGTTGTGGCTAGTGTTGCTATTTTTGAGGAATACTTCACTTTTGTTTTGGTTAATTTTAGGCGTTACCAACTTCCAATACAACAAACAATTCCAAAGTGCCCCAATAAACTCCATATTTTTATTGGTTGTTTGTTTCTGTTAAAAAATTTCCACGATGCTAAATCTCCAAATTCAATTTCGATTGTGACATCAAAATTTCAAGCCCTTGCTAAAAAACAATGCGTTCAAGACAACTAGGACTGAAGAGTTAAAGACAACTTGCAATTCAATGGAAGATCCAATCTCATATATCAATTTAAAAAGAAAAAGCAAAAGCAATGTAAACGGGATAGACATATCTGCTGAGATGCACAATAATGTTTTAAAGCCGGTCAGATCGGTAAACTCTTTACTAGGCCAGCATTAATCCGGTATGGTTGGTCATAAAGCCTAGTTTTTTTGACCTGCATAAACTTGAAAAACCTACGATATGGCTGTTGGATTTTTATTGCTCAATCTATAGTAGCAATTTTGTTTCTCTACTCGAGTTTAAGTCAAACTTAGGGGTTTTATTCAATTTGGCTTGATCCCATTGAATTAAAATATTTTTTTGCGGGGTCTAAAACCATCTGCATTACAGGTTTCTAAGAAAGTTTCCCATCATAAAATATTAATAAAAAAAAGTTACATTCACAGACACTTTTTTAAATTTTGTTTACACATGTGGACACTTCCAACTGGTGGCACACTTTCATCATCTAAAAAGACTGAAATACCCCCATTCAAATTTAACTTCATCAGTAATAAAACGGCATTTTTACATCTACCTGTAAAAACATATTTTTCCACACTTCCGACTTCTGAGTTTTCTGGTCGAAATCCTAGTTATCACAACCGCCATTCCAATTCATCACAACCGCCATTGTTTCTCTTTTTTTTTTATGGTGGTGAAAACCATAGTTCTCGAGTTCTGCAACTCCTATGGTCATCTTTTCTAACTCTTCTTCATCTCTGCAAACACCACCCAAGTTTTTTCTATCTCTACAACATCTAATCTAATCTCAATAATTTCTTCCATCAGTTAGTTTTGTTTTCCACTTTCATGAGTTGGATGATTCCCCCCAATCAAAAATTAGGTGTGAGAGAATTGTAGAGGCCAGGCAACCATTAACGATGCAGATCTGGAATTGAAACAAGTTTGTACGACCATTGATGATGGAGATCTGAGATAAATATTGAACATCGATGGACAACCGATCATGGATAAATACTAGTGGACATAAATAACATTTGATAATGAAACTAAAGTTTTTGAACTATGGATGATTAAACTGTGGATAGCCAACTATGGATGAACATGCATAACCAAATTGTGTTCCATGAAGTTCTTTGTCTATCAGATCTTGGTACAAATTGCATTTGTCCATGATACAAATTGTACTGATTCACAATATGAACATTTAGCTAAACCATATTAGATGGACAAAATCAAGCTATTGTTAGTTCTGTATTGCACAAAACAAGATGGACATGGACAAATCCGGATGGACAAAATTATCATAGACATGTTTCGATTAACAAAAACAAGATGGCCGCATGGATATGTTTGGATGGACAAAATGATCATTGACACATATGGATGGAAAAAATAATCACGGGCATTCATATTTCAAATCACAATCTCGATTGTGAGCTTCTGTTGTTTGTTCTTGCTAATATTATTGTTCTTTTTCTTTGTTTCTTATATTACAACCATCTACATAGAAGAAGAGAGGCCATATCCACATGGACATGATTTCTATGAATTGAATGGTGAACGTCGCTTACTCGTTCTTAAGGAAGATTTGCCAGAGCCTAGAAATGATATTGAATATTCCTCACATTTGTTAGAGTAAAGTGAGAACCTTCTAAGCGAGGGGCAAGAGTTTCAATTACTAAAATTCATATTATATTTTTTGTTTGTATTTTTCTGTAGTTTGTAAATGGTGAAATCATTACTCGTATGTTTGGAACAAAATAAGCTATCAAAAGCTCAGTGAATCGTATATTCGTTGTAGAAAAATCTTTAATGAAATGATATAGTGGTGACGATGATCTCTTGAGCTGAGAGAAGAGTTAAAGAAAGCAGATAAGAAGAATTCTCTAAAAGTATCAGTTTTAACAATGTCCAAGATCAGCTTGTACCAAGACTCATAGCTTCGTTTGAGCTTGTCAAATCGTCGTCCAACTTCTAGTTCTATTCCCAAACTATAACTTGATTGATCAATCATTCGTTTACATATGTTTTCTTATCTTCTACAATTATGTTCTAGAGAACTTATCAGTAAGAACACTTCTATTGTTCAGAATCTATGATTCAAAGACTTTGCTGTTGTTGTATCCACGCTCGCTCGTCCACGATTGTCTGTCCACGATCGTCCGTCTACTTATTGTGATCATTACATTCTTCCCAAATTCTGTTTTCATTCCAACTATCCATAATCATCCATCCATACCGACAAGCAAGTACTGTTCATTGTCTTCTCTACCAAAACCCATATTTTTTTCTTCAGAGGTAGATCAAAACCACTAATCTTGTAACTCAATAATGAGTATGCAATATAAACATATTCAGATCCCCAACTCTCCGAAATCAAAACAAAACATTAACCCAAGCAGCAAATCAAATGCATCAAAATCTGATATTTGAGATCTAGAGCTTTGAGAAAGTCAAAATCTTTCTGGATTTTATAAAATTTGGATGCACAATTATTTTCATCCATCACACTACCCATGTGCATCTTCAATGAGGGCGCTCATGGTGGACAGAAATTAGGCAACAAATCAATTGCAGGTCGCCGATTACGGCGAGGAGTGCGAGCTTCACTCGGCCAGAAGGTCATAATGGTAGACATAGTATATTCTTGTTCGTTACTCCGGATTCACGATCAATGTCAGAGATATCATACAAAAAACACTCCGATTGAACAGCGTTGCCGGCGAGAACAAAAATACACAGCACACAGTCGCAAAGCCCACACCACCTGACTAGATTCATCAACCTCATACTGCGGCAGGGCCGGCCCTGAGCCCAGTCCGATGAAACATTGGCCTTAGGCCCCCGATTTTTAAAAACTCACCATTAGGTTTTATAATATACATATATAATTAAATAAATATAATACTGTATATTGTTCCACGATTTTTGTTTTCCTCACAGGGCTGCTCTCTTTAAAGTTTCTTTTTCTTCATCGCTCTGTTGCAAATTCTCTATTCCTCCATTGAATTTTTCCTTACCCATGACAGTTATTTGTTTTCAAACAATATGTATTTAGTGATAATTAATGTTATTCTCAATTTGTAGTTGAAATCATGCTAAAGATTAATTTTTACATCAAAATATTAGGGATTTCAACAAGAAGAACAAAGTGTCAAACCGGATCCAAGAAAAAGGAAAAAAGGAAAAGAGAAGAAAAATTAGTGAAGTCTAATGCTGGTTCCATGTTAAAGTTTGTTACAAGAATAAAAGTTGATCATGGTGGTCAGCAGAATCGTGAAGGTGTTGAGAATGATAAAACAGAGGAAACTGCAGACAAAACTGCAGAGAAAACTGCAGCGGAAACTGCAGAGGAAACTGAAAAGATGTCTAATGAAGATGATGTGGATTTGAATAAAATCCCAGAAAGTTTTGACTTTAGGGAGGAAGATGAGGCTTTGGATATTACTGATCCTGCAAATTGGCGAAAAATTGATCAGAGGTTAAAAGATTCTATGGTTGAAAAGGGTCTTATGGCAAGAGTACATGAAGACTATGTTTTTCCCAAAAATGCTATCGGTAGACATTTTTCTCACAGATATTACAAAATGGATATGAGAAATGGAGATAAGCAAGATAGGAGTTGGCTACTTTATTCAAAAGTATCAAACAAAGCATATTGTTTTTGCTGCAAGTTGTTTGGTCGTGATCAAGATGCCAATCAGCTCTCAAGCCAAGGGTTTAACGATTGGAAGAATATCAGGATAAGACTGAGCCAACATGAAACTAGCCGTTGCCATATTGTGTGCATGAGTCAATGGATGGATTTAGAAGTGAGACTGAGAAAGAATCAGACCATTGATAAGTGTCTCCAAGAAGAAATCAATAAAGAGAGAAACCATTGGAGAGAGGTTTTGTTGAGAATCTTTTTATTGGTGACAACTCTTGCTAAACAAAATTTAGCTTTTCGTGGAACTAATGAGAAGCTTGGTAAAAAAAACAATGGAAATTTTCTGAGTTTTGTTGAATCATTTGGAGAGTTTGATCCAGTCATACAAGAGCATATCAGACGGGTTAAAGAAGGTGAGACTCGCTATCACTATCTAAGCCACAGAATTCAGGATGAGCTGATTGCTATGCTAGGATCTGAGATCAAACTTATGATCATCAAGAAAATCCAAGAGGCGAAGTATTTCTCAATCATTCTCGATTGCACTCCAGATAAGAGTCATAAAGAACAAATGAGTCTTATTATCAGATGTGTGGATGTGTCCATGGCTAAACCACAAGTTGAAGAATTTTTCGTGACATTCTTGGAAGTTGCAGATAAATCTGGAGAAGGACTTTTTGAGCTGCTTTGTAATACTCTTGTTGCTCACGGTTTGAATATTGATGACGTGAGAGGACAGGGTTATGACAATGGATCTAATATGAAAGGAAAACACAAAGGAGTGCAGAAAAGATTGCTTGATATCAATTCAAGAGCATTTTACACACCTTGCGGTTGTCATAGTCTTAATTTGGCACTTTCTGATATGGCCAAATCATCTACAAAAGCAATTGCATTCTTTGGAATCATTCAGCGCATATATTGCTTGTTTGCATCATCCACAAATAGGTGGGAGCTATTTAAGGAGATGGTCGGAGGTCTCACACTTAAATCATTATCAAAGACTCGCTGGGAAAGTCGTGTTGAAAGTGTTCGAGCAATTCGATTTCAGGCTCCAAAAATAAGAGATGCACTGGAT